GGAGCAGGCCGACCACCAGCTGGCCCAGCCCAAGGGAGGTAAGGCACCCGCCGGAAAAGGGGGGAAAATGGTGGGCAAAAAAAAAAAGGACAAAAAAAATGGCGGACAGCCTTGCTTGGCGACCCCCGTGAAATGGTCGATCGACCCCAAATGGGGTCCCGACCCACAGGTTGAGAACCACTGTTCTAGAATACGAGGACAGAAACTTTGGATATTGGAGGCAATGTAATTATTTTCGTAAGCCGCCCAAAGTCACAGAGAGCGAGTGGGCGGCCACACAAATTTTCTGAAACAAATAAAATAAATACACGAAATGGGTATGTAGATACTGCAGTTTTTAAACATCTCCATAACTATTTCGTTGCCCTCAATATCAAAAGTGATTAAAGATCTTTTCGCTACCTCATTTCGCTTACATGAGGCTAAGGGCTGGGTATACTTTTCCCCATGATAGATCAGTGTCACTGACACTTTTATATATCCAATGTCAAGCTACACAATCTACTGGGAAGAGGGGAGTTTGGGATCCACAGGTGTTCCTTATCAACGTGAGAGCCGAAGCCGTTGAAGAGTTGTTTTGGCAACTGAAGTTTTCTTCTCATTAACAATTACTGGAAGATATTTTGGACAATGTGACCTGAACTGTCAAGAGAGAGAGAGAGGAGGGAAAGTTTCACCGTTTTAATTATCTGTTTCCCGCCATATTCTCAGAGCTAGCTTTCTTTCTATCTTAACCGGTTTGCTAATGCCTAATAAAGTTTACCAAGAAATTAAAAGACGCTTGCTCCTGGGGAGGAAAGCTATGGCAAATCTAGACAGCATACTAAAAAGCAGAGACATCACTCTGCCAACAAAAGTGTGTATAGTCAAGGCCACGGTTTTCCCAGTTGCAATGTATGGATGTGAAAGTTGGACCATAAGAAAGGCTGAGCACCAAAGAATGGAGGCCTTTGAACTATGGTGCTGGAGAAGACTCCTGCGAGTCCCCTGGACTGCAAGGCGATCAAAGTGGTCAGTCCTAGAGGAGATCAATCCCGACTGCTCTTTAGAAGGCCAGATCCCGAAGTGGAAACTCAAGTACTTTGGCCACCTAATGAGAAGGAAGGACTCACTGGAGAAGAACCTAATGCTGGGAAAGATTGAGGGCAATAGAAGAAGGGGACGACAGAGAATGAGGTGGCTGGATGGAGTCACTGAAGCAGTAGGCGTGAGCTTAAATGGACTCCAGAAGATGGTAGAGGACAGGAAGGCCTGGAGGAACGTTGTCCATGGGGTCGCGATGGGTCGGACACGACTTCGCAACTAACAACAACAATTAAAGTGGCTTTTAACATTCTTTTTGCAGAGGAAATTCAAATAGAGAAGAGCCTCTCTCGCTAAAACTGGGAGCGAGGTTTGTGAGGAGGGAGGGCACTAACAACAACAACAAATAAAGTTTACATTAGAGATCGCAATGTCTCTGGTGTTTTGCTTCGTTGGGCTTCTCAGCCGGGACATGACATTGAAATTGGGGCACAGGAATATCCAATAACTGGGGACCCCCTCTAGTTTATAGATTTAGCCCATGAAGGCTTCTAGGCTTGCACTGAATTAGCACAGCATCATGTTACTCATAGGAACCTATTTAAGCTTCTAAGTTGGGAGTATCAGAAATTTCATCTCTTCATAAGGCTTCGTTGCTGCCCTACCCAGATACCTAAATTATTGTTACAGGATGTGATGCCCTTGCCTCTGGGGAAGAGAACACATCGGTCATCAGAATTATTCTCTTTTTTTATGCATGAAGGATGCATGCTACCTGATGCAAGATTTCAAAAGAGTTCTCCTCCTTAAAGAGGAATAATCACCTGCTTCCCAAGGGAAAAATGCCTGCGAAGCTCAGGACCGCAGATCAGACAGGTAAAACGTTTTCTGGATTCTTTTGAGTAAATATGATACAAGGTTGATAAAGCTACAATTTTGCAGACACAAAGCCAATGGCTGAGACAGTTCAAGCTCCGAAGGCAGTGGGCAACACCTAGACCAGGGGTTGGCAACCTTGGCTCTTTTATGACTCGTGGACTTCAACTCCCAGAATTCCTGAGCCAGCATGGCTCAGCTTGGAAACCTCTCCCTTTCCCCTCAGCATGGCTGGCTCAGGGATTCTGGGAGTTGAAGTCCACGAGTCATAAAAGAGCCAAGGTTGCCTACCCCTGGACCTCGACAACAACCTGTTCTCACAAAGGCTCATGAATTTTGAAGCTCTGAACAGTTCTTAGCACATTACGTAGCGTGACCAACTTGAGAATAACCGAATGGGAGATCAAAATGAGTAATTGTCTGGATCTATAGGCTGGTATGAGACCAAGGTCTCCCGTGGTTACAAGAAAAGCAGTCTGGTATGTTATCTGTCACGATACCAAAACGAGAGACAAGGAAACTATGGCTCCAGAGACTGGATAGTTGGCCTTCCTGTTACCCTATGTGGGCAGGAGAAAGGGATACTAAAACTGTGAGCCTTGGTTTCACTATAAACAGGGCTCGGGTTTGATACATAGCAGTTACTGGAATAGATAAAGGAGAATGCCTGTTGCTCAGGGTTGAAATGAAGGGTCCTTGGTGTTCTCCAAGTTCACTTGTTTTCTTGCCGTACTAAAATGTCAGCAAGAACGGCAAGAAAACCATCAAGCTCGGAGAGCGCCAAAGACCCCACAGTTACTGGAACTTTAAAGGCTTATTTACGGTTGCTGGAATCGGGTATGTCTAGTTTAATGAAGAGAAGGACGAGGGGGGGGACATGATAGCAGTGTTCCAATATCTCAGGGGCTGCCCCAAAGAAGAGGGAGTCAAGCTATTCTCCAAAGCGCCTGAAGGCAGGACAAGAAGCAACGGATGGAAACTAATCAAGGAGAGAAGCAACCTGGAACTAAGGAGAAACTTCCTGACAGTGAGAACAATTAACCAGTGGAACAACCTGCCTCCAGAAGTTGTGAATGTTCCAACACTGGAAGTTTTTAAGAAGAGACTGGACAGCCATTTGTCTGAAAAGATATAGGGTTTCCTGCCTGAGCAGGGGGTTGGGCTAGATGACCTCCAAGGTCCCTTCCAACTTCATCTTCATCTTCATCTTCTTCTTCTTCTTCTTCTTCTTCTTCTCCTTCTCCTTCTCCTTCTCCTTCTCCTTCTCCTTCTCCTCCTCCTCCTCCTCCTCATGATTATGATCTTATATAATTACTCTACTTAGTGGAAATCCTTGTATCCTTCCATGGTGGCTTATCTGCTTCTACTCCACCTTGTCAGGAGAAGACTGACAGCTCTGGAAAACCCACTTTCATATCGCTATGTCAGGGGCATGTAACACCTGTCAGTTTGAAGGCTGAATGAGATTCTGTGCTCAAATACCAGCGAGGCCAGATCTTATCTTTACTTGGTGCCAGTTGTTGTAAGATACAAATGGGTGCCGTAAACTCCTGCAAGCCTTACGGGACCCATTCCACTCCTTAAAACTCTTGCGTCAAAAAAACCCAAAACTGGCTACAGTTTGTGTTCCCCATCTCCCATTCAAACATCTGTAAAAAGTACACTAAAGTATGAGTTGATTGCTAGTTGCATTCTTTGTGTCCCCGTTGTAAGCAAACACCCACCCCTATGAAACATTGTCCACCATTGGTAGAGACCATGGTGTTTTGCGGTCCAGGAGCCAATCCAAAGCAAATTAGTCATCCAAATGCTGAAATAATTCTGGGATAATGGCAGTGGCCCTCTCAAGGCATCGGAGCGTTAACGACGATCAGGAAAAGACTGTGAATACCCCAGCCAGCACCCTTAGCCAGGTGGAGATGAAGTGGGTAGCACCCTTTGGGCATAGGAAGAATCAGCAACGGGAACCTTTTTGTATCACAACTGTCTTTAAATGGCATCAGCCCAGTGCAGAAGCCAAGAACTACAGGCCAGCACAAAGTATAAAGCAGTGTTTTTCAACCCTATCAACTTTATGAGGTATGGACTTCAACTCCCAGAATTCCCCAGCCAGCAAAGCTGGCTGGGGAATTCTGGGAGTTGAAGTCCACACCTCATAAAGTTGATAGGGTTGAGAAATACTTGTATCAGGGGATAGGAACCAGGAGAGAAAGTATTGACCTCTAATATTACTAATTCCACACTAGCACTGGTGATGTTACCTAGTTTGGGTAACGAAACATCTACCAGGAAATATCCAAACTCAGAGAGCAGCAAGGACCCCTGATCCCACCCAGCTAGCCTTGGGAGGGAATTGCAGGCCTGCCTCAGAAAAGGGGGAAATGGGACTGTCATCTAGCCCAGAGACCAAAAGGGGGCAGCCCCCTGCACCTTACCCGCCTGAGGTCAATCACATCCTGCAGCATGAACCGGATACGCGAGGACGTCTTCTTCTCCTTAATTATTTTGTCCATCTGGTTGAAGTACTGATCCATTCGAGGCTGAAGAGCAAGAAATGAAGAAGCTCGTTTATTTATTTGGCGTACGGCCAAGCAACGAAGTGAGACGACGCGATAGAAACAGGACAGGTGGTCCTCGAGTTACCGGCGTTCATTTACCGACCGTTCAAACTTACGGTCCATTGTGCGTCTGAAATGGTATAAGGCAGGGATCTTCAAATTTGGCCCTTTTATGACTTGTGGACTCCAGCTCCCAGAATTCCTCAGCCAGGCATGCTGGCTGAGGAATTCTGGGAGTTGAAGTCCACTAGTCATAAAAGGGCCAAGTTTGAAGACCCCTTGTATAGGGCAGGGGTAGGCAACCTTGGCTCTTTTATGACTCGTGGACTTCAACTCCCAGAATCCCTGAGCCAGCATGGCTCAGCTTGAAAACTCTCCCTTTCCCCTCAGCATGGCTGGCTCAGGAATTCTGGGAGTTGAAGTCCACGAGTCATAAAAGAGCCAAGGTTGCCTACCCCTGGTATAGGGTCTCCTGCCTGAGCAAGGAATTTGACTAGAAGACCTCAAAGGTCCCTTCCAACTCCACCACCACCACCACCATCATCATCATTATGTGTCCTTCCATTTGTGTGCATAAAGTAATCTTGCTTCTGTCAACATATATAGCATCAAAGTCTCAACTTTTCTTTCAAAGTCATTATCCATCAAACCCAAAAGAAAAGTCTCTGGTTTTATCTTTACACACACTTCAAGAATAGCAATAACACTTAGATTTTAAATACTGCTTCATAGTGCTTTACAGCCCTCTTTAAGTGGTTTACAAAGTCAGCATATTGCCCCCCCCAACAATCTGGGTCCACATTTTATCATCTCAGAAGGATGGAAGGCTGTGTCGACCTTGAGCCGGTCAGGATCGAACTGCTGGCAATCGGCAGAATTAGTCTGCAATGCTGCATTTTAACCACTGCGCCACCAGGGCTCCTAAGGTAATGGCTTAGAAGCCAGCATTTGAAAGGTGAAGGAGATTGACAGACGCCCCACTTTTGCTTCTGTGGGCTGTATATTAAAAGGGATCTCTCCCCCAAACCAAGCTAGACTCCTGCTGTCTTCCTGGCCACACCCATTAAGCGTTCTTGGCAGGTGCTCAAACAGAAGATTAGCCATGGGCCCTGTACATGCTATGACAGGGATGGGCAACGATGGCAACTTTACGACCCACGGACTTCAACTCCCAGAATTCCTGAGCCAGACATGCCGTGCTCAGAAATTCTGGGGAGTTGGAAGTCCACAGGTTATAAAGTTGCCTTAGTTGACCCTCTCTGTGCTACACACGTGCTCTCGGCACCCTTCCTAAAGTGCGTTTCCAACGCAAGTGGCCTTTGGCACTCCTCAAAGGCAAGCCAATTTGCTGCTTTCTCCCTTCCGCCGCAGGGGGTGAAGTACCTTGGCCTTTTCAAAGTCCAGGTCTTTGCCGATGGTCGTGAGCAATCGACACAGACACTCGAGGGACTCCTCGTCGTGGTTCTTCAGCAGCTTCACCACACAGTCGTGCATGATGGCTTCGGTCAACATCTTCAGCTTGAAGAGCTCCCCAATGAACTTAATGTTGCCGAGAGAGCGGCGGCGAGCTTTGTCCCGAGCGTCATCCAGCTCCTCTTTTAGACGCGTCTTCTCTTCAGGCTACCGAGCAAATAGGAGAGGAGATTAAGTCCTCATCTTGCGACCACAATCCAGCCCCAAATTTCTGTTGCTATGCAAAACATTTGTTAAGTGACTTTTGCCCTATGTTATGACCTTTCTTGCTACAGCTGTTAAGGGGATCACTGCAGTTGTTAAGTTAAGTGAATCTGGCCTCCCCATTTGCTGGTCAGAAGGCCACACAAGGGGGCCACGTGAACCCAGGACACTGCAACTGTCATAAATATAAACCAATGGCCAAACGTCTGGATTTTGATCACGTAATCGCCAAAATGCCACAACGGCCGTGTCTGAAAAATGGTCACAAGTCACTTTTTTCAGCGTCATCGTAACTTCAATCGGTCACTAAACACACTGTTGTAAGTCGAGGTCCATCTGTAATTCATGCGCTAGCCCATATGAAACTTTGCTTACGGCTAGCACGCCGCCCACTGGTGATGACCAATGCACAAAACATTGTGTTCCTGGAAAGGCACAGTTTGCACCTCTCTAATTATCGGACAACCCAACTCCTGCACAATAGTTCCAACAGAGACATGACATCTGCTTCAAGGTCACAAAACAGCTTTAGGACAGACTGGAGTGTCTGAACCAAATGCCTTTGCCCCAGTCCAGATACCCCAGCATTATGCCATTTTTTTTTTTTAGCCCATACTCTATAGAGACTTTTTCATCGTAATAAAAAGTCAGCTGAGAAAGAACAGCTCTTCACACAGCTATCCTGTTGGATGGTAAAAATATGATCTCAGATTGTAAAGCTGAAAAAATGAATCTGTGGGAAATGGTGGGAGGGAGAGAGGGAGGGAAAGGAAAGGAAAAGAAGAGAGGGGAGGTAAAGTAAAGTAAAGTAAAAGGGAGGGGAGGAGAGGAGAGGAAGAAAAAGCTGAAAATGTCAGAATCTTTTTGGTCTCAGAACCCAACCCAACTCCAGAGCTGTAAGTTCAAGCCCCACTCACAGTAGCCGCTTCATCCATCTCCTTCTGCTTCTTCTCAAAAATCTCATCGTCATCCTTGTCTTTCTCAAACTCTTTCTGGCAGCGGTTCAAGAGTACCTTGCGAAAGTTCACCATGACGGTAGGTTTATCGGTAGTGGGGACTTTCAGCTGAAGAAGAGAGAGTTGAGGATCACCATGAGACGCCATCCAGGTGAGCTCTCCTAACGCTCATTGGTCCAAGGACCGTACACAAGAAATCAATGATCTGGGTCACAATCATATCACAACATACGGTTTATGCTGATGGTGGTGAATAGTTCGTGGAGCTACACACACATGCATGTTCATCTGCCACTTCCACAGCCCGTGGGTTGAGGACTCCTGAATGGGCCACAGCCTGGGGGTTGGGGACCCCTGACAAGTTCTAGCAACTCGGTTATTGGGGACTTCCAAATTCTGAGAATGGACCTCTCCGCCGATCTATAGTATCTAAGTGGAGATGCTATATTATTTAACCACCATCAGTTATTAATATCTCCACAGCCTATCCTGGAAGGCTCTTAAATCCACTGCACATCAGAAAGGGAGCTGTGTGTGTGTGAGAATTGGTGGGCCCTTGATGCCTGGACCACTTACCCCCATAAGGCAACGGCACATGTTGGCATAGGCAACAGAGAAGTTTGGCTCAGAAATAGCCTTCTCAAAGATGAGGTCAATGACACCCTTGAGACGTTCTTCTGTGTCAATGGACAACTCGGTGACCTGCTTCATCAACTGCTGGAACATCTGTGGGGTCAGCTTGTTCAGAATGCTGCGCACCCGTCGGAACAGGTCCTGTGGGAAGGAAAGAGGGAATGAGAGGACCTCACGGTGGGAAAACACCACTGGTGTGTTTCCCCTGCTGCTCCCTTCTCAAACTTGGTGGAAATGACTTGTTCGGGGATTGCAGAAGATACTCGGGAGATGACATCAAAGAGACAGGACGGAACGATTTCTATTTCTATGGAGCCAACTGGTCCGCACAAACAAGCAAAGCCCCAAGGCGGCGGGGGCCGTTCCCTCACTGTTTCCAGGATGGCTTCACGGGCCGCATGAAACCACTTCGCGGGCCGCATCCGGCCCCCGGGCCTTGTGTTTGACATGTCTGGTATAGGGTCTCCTGCTTGAACAGGGGGCTGGACCAGAAGACCTCCAAGGTCCCTTCCAGATTTGTTCTGGTTGATCGATTGATCGATCGATCAATACCTACCTGAGTTTTTATGTTCTCAGGCAGCACACAAAACCATACACCTTCCGGTCTGCGGAAAAACTTTTCTCCACGGAACTGGTGCCCAAAAGGTTGGGGACCTCTGTTCTAGTCCAATCTCCTGCTCAAGCAGGAAACCCATTTCAGACAAATGTGGCTGTCCAGTCTCTTCTTAAAAACTTCCAGTGTTGGAGCATTGACCGCTTCTGGAGGCAGGTTGTTCCACTGGTTAATTGTTCTAACTGTCAGGAAGTTTCTCCTTAATTCTAGGTTGCTTCTCTCTTTGGTTAGTTTCCATCCGTTGCTTCTTGTCCTGCCTTCAGGTGCTTTGGAGAATAGCTTGACTCCCTCTTCTTTGGGGCAGCCCCTGAGATACTGGAAGACTGCTATCCTGTCAACCCCTCGTCCTTCTCTTCATTAAATCTTCATTCATCTTCTGTGACCTTAACTTTAGAAATCTTAGGATGTGAATCCCTAGTTAACTTTCCTAAACCAAATACCTGTGTCCCAGGGAGCTAGCAATTAAGAGAGAAAAGCACTAAAGCAGCCTCAGTTGCAACAAGAGATAGCAAAGTCCACGAGAGAAGCAACCTGGAATTAAGGAAAAACCTCCTAACAGTGATAACAATTAACCAGTGGAACAGCTTGCCTCCAGAAGTTGTGGGTGCTTCATCACTGGAGGTTTTTAAGAAAAGTCTGGACAGCCACCTGTCTGAAATGGTGTAGGGTAGGGGTGTCAAACTCAATTTCATTGAGGGCCACATCAGCATTGCGGTTGCCCTCGGGGGGATGTGTGGCCAGGGTGGGTACGGCCTACTGCGTAGGTGTGGACGGAGTGGGTGTGGTCTATTGGGTGGGCATGGCCAGCTCTACATCGTTCGCGTCAAGGGTGCCTGTGGGGGCCTGGGCAGGAGTGGGACAGATCTGAGGGTCTCTGGCAGAAGGGGGTGGGACCGGGGCAAGCGCCAAGGCATGGTCCATTTCTTCATTCCTCACAAAGGGTGACACCTCCCCAGCATGCACCCAGGGGGCGGGGCCGACACGGCAGGGGCTGGTTCCTCGCTGTTTCCAGACGGCCTTGTGGAGCTAAGACTGAATGCGTTTCAGCATAAATGGCCACCCCAAAATCGTACATTGGCTCCCGGCCGGCCTGGGCCAGGGCCAAGGCAGTGGGGGCCGTTCCCTCACTGTTTCCAGGATGGCTTCGCGGGCCACATGAAACCAGTTCGCGGGCCGCATCCGGCCCCCGGGCCTTGTGTTTGACATGTCTGGTATAGGCTCTCCTGCTTGAGCAGGGGGCTGGACCAGAAGACCTCCAAGGTCCCTTCCAGATTTGTTCCGGTTGGTTGATCGATCGATCGATCGATCGATACCTACCTGAGTTTTTACGTTCTCAGGATCTTCGACTTCACTGGCCCGTTTGCTGGTGGGCTTCCAAGCCTTCTCGGCCTTGTTCAGCTTGACGTCTTCGTTCAGAGACACCGTGGTAATGATCTTCCGGGGCTCCTTCCGCAGGCTTTGCTGGGAACGCCGTTGTCCTGGCCCAGCAGGCTACCATGCAGGACGAGAGGAGAGGAAGATCAGGATTTTGCAAACATGGCCTCTGGAGCTTGTCTCGCCCAGACAAGCCTGCTCGACAGAAGCACAGGCTCCATAGTTGGAAGTTATTCTGCCCCCCGGACGTGTTCAGTCCCACAAGAAAACCTGGACTGCCTGATCAGTTCCTCAGTTCCATCACGGAGCATCAGTGGCCCAGACACGACGGCACTAACTAGGAGTTCATCATGCAGAGCCCAGAGGGCAGGAAAGGCCTCGCCAGGCAGGCTAAGCCTCAGAGGTACCTACCGGTCCACGGTTGGGTGGGGTCGGGCGGCCCAGGTTGGCAAAAGAGGGTGTGAAATCCGGTCCGCAGTTCATCGTGCTCAAGCGTACGGGGTCCAGGGGCCGCAGGGGCACCTTGTTCACCTGTAAGCCCAAACGGCAGGAAAAAGAACATCAAAAAGTCCATCGCTTGCAAAGGAGAGGATTGCCTATAGTTGGGGTAGAGGCAACCTTAGCTCTTTTATGACTCGTGGACTTCAACTCCCAGAATTCCTGAGCCAGCCATGCTGAGGGGAAAGGGAGAGGTTTCCAAGCTGAGCCACGCTGGCTCAGGAATTCTGGGAGTTGAAGTCCACGAGTCATGAAGGGCCATAGTTCCCCCATGCTGGCTCAGGAATTCTGGGAGTTGAAGTCCACGCGTCATCAAAGAGCCACGGTTGCCTCTACTCCTGGCCTATAACATGGTCTCAAATCCTGTTGACTTCAAAAAAAGAACTGCAGATTGTCACAACTTTCTGGGACAGATCACGGTGGCGTCCTCTTTATCCCACCCGCCACAAGAGAATTGCATTTAATGCACGGCACTGCCTAGAATGGACACGGGCCATTTTCCTTGGTCAGAGACCCCCCCACTCACTTCCTGGCTCAGCTAAGGTCTCTGCAGGACATCCCTAAAAGTTAGAGAGGTGGACCTGTCATTTCTGTTTCCTAGTTTAGGGAGGAGGACTTGGTGTTTTTTTTCCCTTTGCTTGCATCCCGCCTTTTATTATTTTTAGAAAGAACTCGAGGCAGAACGACGACTCAAAGTACACTCTTCTTATTTTTCCCCCCCCCACAACAATCACCCTGTGAAGTGGTGTTCTGGATCGTGTTTGGCATTTATTGGGTTAAGTGCTGTCTCCTTAAGACAGCGGTTCTCAACCTATGGGTTGCGACCCCATTTGGGGTCGTTCGACCATTTCACGGGGGTCGCCAAGCAAGGCTGTCTGCCATTTTTTTCCCCTTTTCCGGCGGGTGCCTTACCTCCCTTGAGCTGGGCTAGCTGGTGGTCGGCCTGCTCCGTCTCTGCTGCTTGCCAGCTACGCCTCGGCCGGCGCAGAGGGCGGAACCACGCATGCGCGGCGCTCCCGGGCAGGGAAAGTCCTCGACTTACGACCGGTTGGGTAGTCCTCGACTTACGACCGGTTTAGTCCTCGACTTACGACCGGTTTAGTCCTCGACTTACGACCGGTTGGGGGTCGCGGCATTAAAAAGGTTGAGAACCACTGCCTTAAGAGATGGCTTGTGGGTAATGTAGTTTAGCTAGTCTGCAATCCCATGTTATCAGATCTGTGGGAGGAGCCACTAAAGCTTATTGCAGGATTTCCTGGCCATGCGCCAGTTTGGAATGTCTTTGTCTGAGATAAGCATGGGGCCATAGGATGTCAGATGGCTCCGCTCCACATGAGGAGTTGGTATGGAGAAGTTAATGAATTTACTGTTCTGATCATGAATCAAAATGCCATTATGATCCAATCACAGGCAGATAAACTCAAACAAAGATGATTTCAAAACAGATAATTTATTCAGTCAGAAAAGAATACTTGCGATTGGTAGATTCCGTCTGGACAAAGTAATCTGTTCATCTTCATTAGGTAAATTCATTAACTTCTCCATACCAACTCCTCATGTGGAGCGGAGCCATCTGACATCCTATGGCCCCATGCTTATCTCAGACAAAGACATTCCAAACTGGCGCATGGCCAGGAAATCCTGTAATAAACTTTAGTGGCTCCTCCCACAGATCTGATAACATGGGATTACAGACTAGCTAAACTACATTACCCACAAGCCATCTCTTAAGGAGACAGCACTTAACCCAATAAATGCCAAACACGATCCAGAACAAGTGGGTTGGGCTGAGGTAGTGTGACTGGCTAAAGATCACCCAGCCAGTTTTCATTCCTATGGCAAGACTAGAACTCTCCAACTCCTGGTAAATGGCCCAAAGTCACCCAGCTGGCTTTCATGCCTAAAACAGGACTAGAACTCACAGCCTCCTGGTGATTGGCCTAAAGTTACTCAGCTGGTTTTCATGCCTAAGGTCAGACTAGAACTCACAGTCTCCTGGTGACTGGCCTAAAGTCGTTCAGCTGATTTTCATGCCTAAAACTGGTCCTGGTGATTGGCCCACCCAGCTGCCTTTCATGCCTAAAACAGGACTAGAACTCACAGTCTCCTGGCGATTGGCCTAAAGTCACTCAGCTGCCTTTCCTGCCTAAAACGGGACTAGAACTCACAGTCTCCTGGCAATTGGCCTAAAGTCACTCAGCTGGATTTCATGCCTAAGGTGAGACTAGAATTCACAGTCTCCTAGTGATTGGCCCAGTTACTCAGTTGGCTTTCATGCCTAACACAGGATTAGAACTCACAGTCTCCTAGTGATTGGCCCAAAGTCACCCAGAGGTCTTTCACGTCTAACACACAACTAGAACTCACAGTCTCCTGGTGATGGGTCCAAAGCCATCCAGCTGGCTGTCATGCTAAGCCATCCAGCTGGCTGTCATGCTAAAACTCACCACCTCCCTGCTCTACCCTGGTGCTTTTACCACTAGACCAAACTGGTTCTTTAGCGGGCACGGGAAATTCTGGAGGGCAAACTGCGCCCATTTCGACTGGCAATCCTACTGCTGAATCCAACAGGTTCTGTTGCGGAGATTACAGCACAAACCGACCAAAACATCAGTGATGGATTGAAGGATCGTTTTGGAGAACCCCAGGAAGTTGGGACATAACAGTGGAAACGAAAGCAATATGCCTTCCAGATTTTTCTTCCTTCTTTGCAGTGGCGGGGGGGGGGAGGAGAATGATGTTAGAAAGAAAAACTATATGTCTAAAAGTCAACCATTTTGCTCTCAGCTTTTGCTGGGGGTTCAATCTTGTTGGGCTGTTGGGGAGCAGGTGCAACCTGCACGTTGGCTTCTGCTTTAAACGGGCTAAGCAAGGTAATTCTTCCACCATCTTATACAAAAAAAAAAAAAGAGGGTTCTGATGGACATCTGAGGAAACTGAACTGGAGGACAGACCTTTTCCAAGACCACGTCACTGATATGGGGCAAGCCTTCTGGCTTTTGCATGCTAGCGAACATATACTGAAACCCCAGCAGGAATTCCCGATCGTATCTCTTCTTTTCTTCCGGATTCAATGGCTTCCATTGCTCTATTAAGGGAAAGAAGAGAGAGAGAGAGCGCAAAGCTGAAAGCAGAGTCTCCTTCAAGGAGTTCGTAGACTAGATCGGTGTTTTTCCAACCAGGAGCACCTTTAAGATGTCTGGACTTCAACTCCCAGAATTCCCCAGCCAGCATAGCTGGCTGAGGAACTCTGGGAGTTGAAGTCCACACATCTTAAAAAGTTGCTGAGGTGGAGATGCAATGATCTAGACCAGCGGTTCTCAACCTATGGGTCGGGACCCCATTTGGGGTCGATCGACCATTTCACGGGGTCACCAAGCAAGGCTGTCCGCCATTTTTTTTGTCCGCCATATTTTTTGTCTGCCATTTTTCCCCCGTTTCCGGCGGGTGCCTTACCTCCCTTGGGCTGGGCCAGCTGGTGGTCGGCCTGCTCCGTCTATGCCGCTTGCCAGCTATGCCTCGGCCGGCGCAGGGGGCGGAACCACGCATGTGCGGCACTCCCGGGCAGGGAAAGTCCTCGACTTACGACTGGTTGGGTAGTCCTTGACTTATGACCGGTTTAGTCCTCGACTTACGACCAGTTGGGGGGGTCGCAGCATTAAAAAGGTTGAGAACCACTGATTTAGACCAGGGCTTTTCAACCTTTTCACCCATTGTACCACTTTTAGGATATGGCAATATCCGAGTACCACTAGTCACCTAGCAAGGTGTCAAAAACTTGATGAACCCCCCCAAAAGAAAAAAAGTGATGAAGTACAGGTAGTCCTCGACTTACAACAGTTTGCTTAGTGACTGTTCGCAGTTACAATGGCACTGAAAAACGTGTCCCCCCCCAAGACACAGCCGAGCAAGACACCTGCCTGCCCACCCGTCCATCCGCGCTCTTCCTCCTGTCTGAGGTTTCCATTGTTGTGAGCATTTCTGTTGAGGATTGGCAGTGGGGGTGGGGTGGGGGGTGTTTGGTTTTTATTCCTCCCATCTGCTGGGTGGTTGCAGCAGGTTTTGGTCACTTCACATGATCCTGGAACGCTGTGACCGTCATAAATATGAATCAGTTGCCAAGCATCTGAATGTAAATCACAAGACCCTGGAGACGCTGCAACATTCCAGCTGATCAGCGCTCCTTCTGGGCTCAGCAGAAGCGCCAGGATCAGTGCCGAGCTCCAGCTGGAGCCTGGCCCTGATCCTGGCGCTTCCGCTGAGCCCTGACAGCCCCGAAGAAGCGCCGATCAGCTGGAAAGCAGCACTGATCCTGATGCTTCCACTGAGCCCTGACAGCCCTGCAGCTCCAGCCGTCTCTCGCTCAGGCTTGTGCGGTGCTGCCACCAATTCAGCTCATTCCCCTCCCGCTACCACTTTTCTAGGATGGTCGCGTACCACCTGCCAGGTGCCAATGTACCACAGGTGGTACCCGTACCACTGGTTGAAAAGCCCTGATCTAGATCAGGGTTGTCAAACTGGCGGATGTGTCGCGCGCAGGCCACGCCCGCCCTGGCACCGCAAAGGCAAAAAACCACAACATCGTGACACGTCATGTGACGCGATCGAGTTTGACACCCGATCTAGGTGTTTACCGGCTTGGACACTCAAATGACTGGCCAGAAAGTCCAGGGAAACCACGGCAGTAATGTAAGAAACGCCAACCGCGCCCTGGGTAATGAGTCTACTCAGATCCTCAGTTCCATCACAGGGTTATTATCCTCAGTGGCCCAGACACGATGGCTCAAAGCAGAGGTCATCACAGAAGACTCAATGGGAAGTTCCCCCCCTCCCAGCACCTTTCCCACGTTACACCTGCTGCTCAGGTCTGGCTCACCTTCCTTGTAGCGATACTTCTGATCTGCTTGCTTGACCTTCTCAGGGTCCAGCTTATCCTCCTTCTGTTCCCAAGTCTCCTCCGGTTCCTCCTGGGAGCGAGCTGGGACAGGTTCCTCGGGCTCCGGGGCTGGCGCTGGGGGGTTGTTCTCTGTCTCAGAGCCCCCCTCGCTGGCCTAAGAGGGAAAGCCGAGGAGATCCTATGAAGGACAGAACTAGGGAGCAAGAAACGGCTCTCTCGGAAGGAGGAGCAGTGTTCCTCCTGTACCTCAAAGCTCACAACAAAGTTGGTGCTTTCTTCACCAACACCACAATCACAGTTGAAGCCCACAGGATTCACGTGCAGCTGATGGCTTCAAAAGGACTGTGATGGATGGATGATAGATGGATGGATAGTAGACAGACAGACGGATAATAAACGGAAGATAGACAGACGGATGATAGATAGATAGGTAGATAGGTAGATAGGTAGATAGATAGATAGATAGATAGATAGATAGATAGATAGATAGATAGATAGATAGATAGATAGATAGATAGATAGATAGATAGATAGATAGATATGGAGGGATGGATGGAAGATAGCAGACGAATGGATGATAGATAGACAGACAGACAGACAGACAGACAGATATTGATGGACGGATGGACAGACATATAGTTATGGGTATATATTGTGCGTATAGTCAAGGCCATGGTTTTCCCAGTTGCAATGTATGGCTGTGAAAGTTGGACCATAAGAAAGGCTGAGCGACAAAGAATTGAGGCCTTTGAACTATGGTGCTGGAGAAGACTCCTGCGAGTCCCCTGGACTGCAAGGCGATCAAACCGGTCAATCCTAGAGAGATCAACCCTGACTGCTCCTTAGAAGGCCAGATCCTGAAGTTGAAACTCAAATATTTTGGCCACCTAATGAGAAGGAAGGACTCACTGGAGAAGAGCCTCATGCTGGGAAAGATGGAGGGCAAGAGAAGAAGGGGACGACAGAGAATGAGGTGGCTGAATGGAGTCACTGAAGCAGTAGGCGTGAGCTTAAATGGACTCCAGAAGATGGTAGAGGACAGGAAGGCCTGGAGGAACGTTGTCAAGATGGGGTCGCGATGGGTCGGACACGACTTCGCAACTAACAGCAACAACATATTGTGTGTGTATATAATCAGGTAGTCCTCAACGTACGACCAGAATTGAGCCCAAAATTTAACATTTGTTAAGGGAGTTTGGNGGGGGGGGGGGGGGGGGGGGGGGGGGGGGGGGGTTTGGTTTTTATTCTGCCCGTCTGCTGGGTGGTTGCAGCAGGTTTTGGTCACTTCACATGATCCTGGAACGCTGTGACCGTCATAAATATGAATCAGTTGCCAAGCATCTGAATGTAAATCACAAGACCCTGGAGACGCTGCAACATTCCAGCTGATCGGCGCTCCTTCTGGGCTCAGCAGAAGCGCCAGGATCAGTGCCGAGCTCCAGCTGGAGCCTGGCCCTGATCCTGGCGCTTCCGCTGAGCCCTGACAGCCCCGAAGAAGCGCCGATCAGCTGGAAAGTGGCACTGATCCTGGGGCTTCCACTGAGCCCTGACAGCCCCAAAGAAGCGCTGAGCCCTGACAGCCCTGCAGCTCCAGCCGTCTCTCGCTCAGGCTTGTGCGGTGCTGCCACCGATTCAGCTCATTCCCCTCCCGCTACCACTTTTCTAGGATGGTCACGTACCACCTGCCAGGTCCCAATGTACCACAGGTGGTACCCGTACCACTGGTTGAAAAGCCTTGATCTAGATCATGGGTGTCAAACTGGCGGATGCATCACGCACAGGCCACGCCCACCCCGGCCCCGCAAAGGCAAAAAAACCCATGTCGCGATACATCATGTGACGCGATCGAGTTTGACACCCCTGATCTAGATGTTTACCGGCTTGGACACTCAAATGACTGGCCAGAAAGTCCAGGGAAACCACGGCAGTAATGTAAGAAACGCCAACCGCGCCCTGGGTAATGAGTCTACTCAGATCCTCAGTTCCATCACAGGGTTATTATCCTCAGTGGCCCAGACACGATGGCTCAAAGCAGAGGTCATCACAGAAGACTCAATGGGAAGTTTCCCCCCCTCCCAGCACCTTTCCCACGTTGCACCTGCTGCTCAGGTCTGGCTCACCTTCCTTGTAGCGATACTTCTGATCTGCTTGCTTGACCTTCTCAGGGTCCAGCTTATCCTCCTTCTGTTCCCAAGTCTCCTCCGGTTCCTCCTGGGAGCGAGCTGGGACAGGTTCCTCGGGCTCCGGGGCTGGCGCTGGGGGGTTGTTCTCTGTCTCAGAGCCCCCCTCGCTGGCCTAAGAGGGAAAGCCGAGGAGATCCTATGAAGGACAGAACTAGGGAGCAAGAAACGGCTCTCTCGGAAGGAGGAGCAGTGTTCCTCCTGTACCTCAAAGCTCACAACAAAGTTGGTGCTTTCTTCACCAACACCACAATCACAGTTGAAGCCCACAAGATTCACGTGCAGCTGATGGCTTCAAAAGGACTGTGATGGATGGATGATAGATGGATGGATAGTAGACAGACAGACGGATAATAAACGGAAGATAGACAGACGGATGATAGATAGATAGATAGGTAGATAGGTAGATAGATAGGTAGATAGATAGGTAGATAGATAGATAGATAGATAGATAGATATGGAGGGATGGATGGAAGATAGCAGACGAATGGATGATAGATAGACAGACAGACAGACAGACAGATATTGATGGACGGATGGACAGACATATAGTTATGGGTATATATTGTGCGTATAGTCAAGGCCATGGTTTTCCCAGTTGCAATGTATGGCTGTGAAAGTTGGACCATAAGAAAGGCTGAGCGACAAAGAATTGAGGCCTTTGAACTCTGGTGCTGGAGAAGACTCCTGCGAGTCCCCTGGACTGCAAGGCGATCAAACCGGTCAATCCTAGAGAGATCAACCCTGACTGCTCCTTAGAAGGCCAGATCCTGAAGTTGAAACTCAAGTACTTTGGCCACCTAATGAGAAGGAAGGACTCACTGGAGAAGAGCCTCATGCTGGGAAAGATGGAGGGCAAGAGAAGAAGGGGACGACAGAGAATGAGGTGGCTGAATGGAGTCACTGAAGCAGCTCCGCACTCGAATTTACCTGAGGTCTTCTACCATCTCCTGTCCTTCCGGACCTCCTTGCAACAGTTCTACCCCAGCGCTACCCAGCCTGTGCTGAAGCGTTGATTGTCGTTGTTGTATAACACACACATATATTAGTCCATCAGGAGTTGCATGCTGGTCTTAACTCGGGTTTTAAATTGTAAACAATTCCCTCAAACCACCCATTTTACGACCTTTCTAGCCACAGAGGTTAAATGAATCTCTGCAGTGGTTAAGTTAGTAACACGGTTGTTAAGTGAATCTGGCTTCTCCATTGACTTTGCCTGTCAGAAGGGCGCAAAAGGGGATCTCATGACCCCCAGAACACTGCAACTGTTATAAATGTGAGTCGGTTGCCATGGGTCTGGATTTTGATCACGTGACCATGGGAAGAGCTAGCCCTATCTTGCTGGCTGGGGAATTTTGGGAGCTGAAGTCCATCCCATCTTAAGAGTTGCGAAGGTTTGACAAACAGTGCATTAGTCAAAAGGGGGGGAACACGTTGTCTTCCCTAAGAATATGCAGGCTACACACCTCTTTGAACGCGTCCAACAGATCTCCAACGGCCTCCTTCTTGTTCAGATCCTTCAACCTTCGCTTCCTCTTTGGCACCGATACGGCTACTAGGGGATTAAACAGAGGGATGGAGACACACGAGTTACGGATATGTCCTGACAAGGCAGGGAAAGACGCTCCAGGCAACAAGCTAGTGCGAAGCCCTTCTCTGAAGCCATTTTTTTGGGGGGTAAAAGGAGCGTCACTCATGACAGAAATAGAGGATGTTGCATCCTGGGATGAAGTTATGGCCTCCATACCATCCACTCAGGATACTATGGGACAGCAGCCCTTGAACCTTTCGTAAGACTGAAATGGATCAAGGCAGAAGTGCCTAGGGAACTGGAGGCTAAAACATATAAGGAACGGTTGCTGGAATTGGGTATGTCTAGTCTAATGAAGAGAAGGACGAGGGGGGACATGATAGCAGTGTTCCAATATCTCAGGGGCTGCCCCAAAGAAGAGGGAGTCAAGCTATTCTCCAAACCGCCTGAAGGCAGGACAAGAAGCAAAGGGTGGAAACTAATCAAGGAGAGAAGCAACCTAGAACTAAGGAGAAACTTCCTGACAGTTAGAACAATTAACCAGTGGAACAACCTGCCTCCAGAAGCAGTGAATGCTCCAACACTGGAAGTTTTTAAGAAGAGACTGGACAGCCATTTGTCTGAAACGGTATAGGGTTACCTGCCTGAGCAGGGGGTTGGACTAGATGACCTCCAAGGTCCCTTCCAACTTTATTATTATTACTATTATTATTATTATTATTATTATTATTATTATTATTATTATTATTATTATTAGCTCTGCAGACAATAAATTCCTTGGTCTACAGCAGAGGTCCCTAACCTTTTGGGCACCAGGGACTGGTTCCACGGAGAAAGGTTTTTCCACGGACCAAAGAGTGCGTGATATGGGGCTCTGCTTGTTTGTGCGGACCGGTTGCTGGGGACCCTTGGTCTACAGGAAATACCATCCATAGAATATTTGTAACTCAACTTGGTCTGGATGCTTTCTTGCAGACGTTTCATTATCCAACTAGTTAACATCATCAATGCTAGAAGGAAGTGGGGTTTGCTCTCGCTCTCTATACCGGAGTAGGCAACCTTGGCTCTTTTATGACTCGTGGACTTCAACTCCCAGAATTCCTGAGCCAGCATGGCTCAGCTTGGAAACCTCTCCCTTTCCCCTCAGCATGGCTGGCTCAGGAATTCTGGGAGTTGAAGTCCACGAGTCATAAAAGAGCCAAGGTTGCCTACCCTTGTGCTAGCTGTTTAACCTGGCCTGCTCAAAGCTGTTTGGTGAAATCAGGTGCCATCCATTTATCTATCCATCTATCAATCATCTATTTATCTATCATCTATCCATCAATCAATCAATCAATCAATCAGTCAGTCAGTCAGTCTGTCTGTCTGTCTGTCTGTCTGTCTGTCTGTCTATCTATCTATCTATCATCTATCTATCCATCTATCTATCCATCTATCAATCATCTATTTATCTATCATCTATCCACAAGTGTCTATTGCTAAGTGAGACATTTGCTAGGTGAGTTTTGCCCCATTTTACGACCTTTCTTGCCACAGTTTGTAAGTGAATCACTGGGGGGGGGGGTTAAGGTAGTAACACTGTTGTTAAGTGGATCTGCTTCCCCATTGATTTTGCTGACCAGAAGGTCGCAAAAGCGGATCCCGTGACCCCAGGACACGTCAACCGTCATAAATACGAGTCAGTTGCAACGCGGCCGTGTTTTGCTGACGTGGACATGGGATGCTGCAAAAGTTGTTAAGCGTGAAAAACAGTCGTAAGGTCACTCTTTTCAGTAAGGTTGTAACTTTGACCAGTCACTAAATCAGTGTTTCTTAACCTTGTCCATTTGAAGATGTGTGGACTTCAACTCCCAGGATGCCCCAGCCAGCCATGCTGGTTGGGGAATTCTGGGAGTTGAAGTCCACACATCTTCAAGTGAACAAGATTGAGAAACACTGCACTAAATGAACTGCTGTTAGGTCGAGAGCTGCCTGTACCACCCACGTATAGCAGACCATGAGGTGAGAAGCAATAGTAACCAACCCAGTGCCCTCTGGCACAACTGAAGGAATCATCTAGCATGGCATCCTACCAAACACCATGCAAAGCTAAAGCATCAGGGAAAGATCCTAATTTGGCCCAAACAGATTCTGTGAACTGCTTGAAGGGAAATGTTCTGAGATGGTCTAAAACAGCAGTGGCGAACCTATGGCACGCGTGCCAGAGGTGGCACTCAGAGCCCTCTCTGTGGGCATGCGCGCTGTCGCCCCAGCCCTGCCTCCTCCCCGCAGCCCCCTCCTCACCAGCAGCCCCCCTGGAGGAGAGTCGTCCCCGAGTGCGGCCCGCGCGGAACAGCGCAGCCAAAGACATGGCAACTGGGCAGTGGGGACAAGACTCTGCCCTCGCGCCCCGTCGCACACAGATGATGCTGCAGGGCGTGGACGGAGGGCGTGGCCATCATGGCGCTGCTGAGCCTCCTGGGCGATTTGCTGCGGCAGGCCGTGGAGGCAGTGGGTGGCCCTGTGGGCTGGTGGAGCGGGAGGATGGGGGCAGTTTTTGGGTACTCGGAGCCCTCTCTGTGGGCACACGTGCCGTTGCCCCAGCCTCGCCTCCCCCCATGATCTCCTCTTCTCCAGCAGCCCCCCTGGAGGAGAGTCGCCTCTGAGCGTGGCCCACGCGGAGCAGCGCAGCCAAGGACATGGCAGCCAGGCAGCGTAGACAAGACTCTGCCCTCACACCCCATCATGCACAGTTGATGCTGCAGGGCGCGGGCAGAGGGCGTGACCGCCATAGCGCTGCTGGGCTGCCTGGGCGATCTGCGGCGGGCCCTAGAGGCGGTGAGTGGCCCTGAGGGCAGGTGGCACAAGGGATGGGGGGGCGGAGCGGGGACAGGGCCAGTTTTGGGGCACTTGGTCTCTAAAAGATTCGCCATCACTGCTCTATGAGGTTCGCCATCACTGGTCCAAAACCACCTCTCTCAGTAGCCCCGCCCAGCCTGACCTGGGGATGGATTCCGGATGCTTCCAACCTGGAAGACTGGAGGTTCCTATCTCTGTATTGCAAATGGAAAACAAAGACGCCTGCATTATCAATAAAGGAGAATATTGGTATGAGGGGGTCCTTGCTACTCTCTGAGCTTCTTGGCTTCTTTTCTTGCAGACGTTTCATTAACCCAAACTCGGTAGCGTCGTCAGTGCTTGTCCAGCACTGATGTTGTTATGCCTAGTTTGGGTAATGAAGCTCAGAGAGCACCATTCAACACCTCACAAGACTTCTCAAAGACTAAGATGACATCCAGCTGCCTAGGAGGCTGTTGTGGGTACTCACCTTGCGTCGTCACTTCCGTGGTCTCCAAGGGTTGGGCAGCCACCGGTTGGGCACTCTGCTCCGGGACCTCGGCCACCTCCTCCACTTCCTCCTCTACCTCTGCCTCTGCCTCCACCTCCGCCTCCGCCTCTTCTTCTACAACAGGCGCGGCAGTCACCGGGACAATCACCTCCTCGGGCTTCACCTCTTCGGGTTCCGAGATGGGGCTAATATCCGATTCGGGCAGTTCCTCCGGCTCTTCGGCCTCTTGCTTCTCCGGGGTCCCAAGCCCAGAAGGCACGGCCTCCTCCACCTCTTCCGGTTGAGCAATGGGGGATTCCATGGGGGATTCCATGGGGGATTCCATGGCCGATTCCGGCTCGGACGGAGGGGGCACCTCGGGTACCGCCTCTAGCAGCTCCTCTTCTAAGACTCCATTTGACTCGATGGCCTCTTCGGCCACCTCCTCCGGGGAAGGAGAAGGAACGGGAGGCGCACACGGCAGCGTTACGGGAGGCTCCTCGGGTTGAAAAACCTCCTGTTGGGTAACCACCGTCTCTTCTTCTTCTTCTTCCGCTGCTGCTGCTGCTGCTGCCGCCACCTCTTCGTCCACCAGCTTTTCTGGGGGTGGCTGGGAAGGTACCTCCAAAACAGGGCTAGCAGCTACCTCTTCCCGAGGCTCTGTGTCCAAAACAAAGGACTCCGGAGGGGGCACAAGGCCCCCAGGCACTGTAGTGGTGGCGCTAATGGGCTCAAGGATGTCTTCAGGGACCTCCGGCAGCTCCTCTCTAGTGTCCACAGCAACAGGGCTCTCTGGGCGCACCAGCGTCACAGCGGCCGGCTGCACAGGCTCCACCTCGGTCAGGGGCGGAGGGGGAGATGGGGAAGCGGATTTACTAGGCTCCAAGGACACCGGTTTACTTACTACTGGGCTGGCCTTGGAGCGGTCATCTGGTGGGAAAAAAGGAAAAAGAAAGTTGAGTCCTCTAGAGCAGGGCTTTTTAACCGGTGGTACGCATACCACTTGTGGTACTTTGCCACATGGCAAGTGGTACGCGATTGCTAGCCAAGTGTAGCAGGGGAGGGGGAATGAGCCAAGCGAGCCAAGCAGCTGGAGGACTATCTGGGCTCGGTCAGAAGCCCCAGGAGCCGGCAAGGCTCCAGCTGATTGACGCTTCCAGAAGCAGCTCGGAGCTGGAGGTGAACTGAAGAAAAAGGGGGGTGGGGAAGAGAAGAGAGGCTATAAAAGAACGTAGTTTGGGTGGGGAAAGGGGAAAAAGGACAACAGGAAAGGTTTAATCCCTTTAAACAAATGTAATTAGTTTTACCCCCTTTAATACAGTCTGTTTGTGGCTTTGAGAAAGTTTTCTTTGAAGGTAAACAGGCTTAATTTTAAAGCTAAAGCTTTTCGCAATTGCGGGAGCCTTTCAGTCTAGAATGGCAACATTGTGACACGCCTGAGGGAGCTTAAAGAGAGAAAAAAAAAAACGGGAGTTTGTGTTTCTTATTTTCTTGCTTTGCACTTGATTCCTGGGTCTTTAAGGGTACGGCAGTGGTTCTCAACCTTTTTAATGCCGCGACCCCCAACCGGTCGTAAGTCAAGGACTAAACCGGTCGTAAGTCGAGGACTAAACCGGTCGTAAGTCGAGGACTAAACCGGTCGTAAGTCGAGGACTACCCAACCGGTCGTAAGTCGAGGACTTTCCCTGCCCGGGAGCGCCACGCATGCGTGATTCCACCCCCTGCGCCGGCCGAGGCGTAGCTGGCAAGCGGCAGAGACGGAGCAGGCCGACCACCAACTGGCCCAGCCCAAGGGAGGTAAGGCACCCGCCGGAAAAGGGGAAAAAAATGGCAGACAAAAAAAATGGCGGACAGCCTTGCTTGGCGACCCCCGTGAAATGGTCGATCGACCCCAAATGGGGTCCCGACCCACAGGTTGAGAACCACTGGGGTACGGGGAAGGGATTGGGGGGGGTGTATTCTTACTACACTGTGGAAGAGCTCAGATGGGCAAACGAGCTAGCTTAGGAGTCTACAAACTTTTTTAGGATCTTGGCAACGGGAGTTCATTTTATCTCTTTCAGCATTGGTTTTGTTGTCAATCTCAACCAGTATTTTAAACTTTCGATACAGTATTTGTTTTAAAAGCAGGGCATAAATCGTGTAAATAAAACAAAATGAACACCAGGAAGTGATGGAAGGTAAAGGTAAAAGGTAGGGAATGTGAGACAGGTGAAAAGACCAACCAACTAAACAAGGTCTAAATCAGGGGTCTTCAAACTTGGCAACTTTAAGACTTGTGGACTTCAACTCCCAGAATTCCTCAACCAGCCATGAGAGCTGAGGAATTCTGGGAGTTGAAGTCCACAAGTCCTAAGGGGTCCTAAGTCCATTTTTTTCAGCGCCGCTGCAACTCAGAACGGTCACTAAGCATCTTCCAAAAGTCTTGGAAACACAAGAGGAAGAGAGAAAACCTGTTTTTCTGTCTGATTACATGGGAGTTAACCGTTGTAAGTGCCAGCTCCACACAGGCAAATGGACAGACAATAGTAACTAATCAAGGAGAGAAGCAACCTAGAACTAAGGAGAAACTTCCTGACAGTTAGAACAATTAACCAATGGAACAACCTGCCTCCAGAAGTTGTGAATGCTCCAACCCTAGAAGTTTTTAAGAAGAGACTGGACAGCTACTTGTCTGAAATGGTGTAGGGTTTCCTGCCTGAGCAGCGGGTTAGACTAGATGACCTCCAAGGTCCCTTCCAACTTAATTATTATTATTATTATTATAAAGTGGGGCTGTGGATGCACTGTCACACACACACCAACCAGTTCTGCCATCATACCTTGGCGGACAATAACTGCTACATGGGGTGTCTCCCCGTTGGCCTGTGGCTCTGAACCGCTTCCGGCCTGGGAAAACAGAGAAGGGAAAGAAGGATTAATAAAACCACGAAACAAATACAAATTTCTTTCTTTCTGTCTCTTATACACACCCAAACACACACGGACAAAGCAGATGATTTATTCTATCGGTAGCTGTATCAGATGTAGGTGAACCAAACGTCTAGGCCAAGGGTAGGCAACCTTGGCTCTTTTATGACTCGTGGACTTCAACTCCCAGAATTCCTGAGCCAGCCTGGCTCAGCTTGGAAACCTCTCCCTTTCCCCTCAGCATGGCTGGCTCAGGAATTCTGGGAGTTGAAGTCCATGAGTCATAAAAGAGCCAAGGTGGCCTACCCCTGGTTCTAGGCGTTAGGACAGCAGTTCCTAGAATTTTCTGGCTAGGAATTCCAAGAGAGCAGATTAGATTCAACGCATCTCTAGGGTGTTGGACTGGCTAAAGATGAGCTGCAAGAAGACTGTGAGTATCCAGAGGAATGGACTTATCAATATCTGGGCAGAGTCACGGCTTGCCTGTGCGCAGAACAAGGGACAAGTTCATTCGTTCGTTAGGCTAATTTTAAGGATTTGGAAAACAGCTGCCGTGGTTAAGTTAGTAACACGGATGTTAAGGGAATGTGCTCTCCCCGTTGACTTTGTCTGTCAGAAGATTGCAAAAGGTGATCACATGCTCCCGGGACACTGCGGCCGTCATGAATACAGGTAGTCCCTGAGTTATCTTATTGACAGAACAATTAATCAGTGGAACAACCTGCCTCCAGAAGAGGTGAATGCTCCAACACTGGAAGTCTGTAAGAAGAGACCGGACAGCCATTTCTCTGAAATGGTGTATAGGGTTTCCTGCCTGAGCAGGGGGCTGGACTAGATGACCTCCGAGGTCCTTTCCAACTTTATTATTATTATTATAGTTACAACCACAATTGAGCCCAAAATGTACGCTGCTAAGTGAAAACATTTGTTAAGTGAGTTTGCCCCATTTTTACGACTTCTTTTGCCATGATTGTTAAGTGAATCGTTGCATTTATTAAATTAGTAACGTGGCTGTTAAGTGAATCCGAATTCCCCACTAACTTGTCAGAAGGTCACAAAAGGGGATCACATGACCCGGGGACACTGCGACCGTCATAAATATGAACCAGTTGCCAAGCATCCAAATTTTGATCACATGATCATGGGGATGCTGCAATGGTCGTAAGTGTGAAAAACGGTCATAAGTCACTTTTTCCGGTGCCGTTGTAGCTTTGAACGGTCACTAAATGAACTGCTGTAAGTCAAGGACTACCTCTATGAGCTATGGTTTAGAGGTTTTTAAGAAGATATTGGACAACCCTTTGTCTGAAATGGTTTAGGGCAGGGGTAGGCAACCTCGGCTCTTTTCTGACTCGTGGACTTCAACTCCCAGAATTCCTGAGCCAGCCACGCTGAGGGGAAAGGGAGAGGTTTCCAAGCTGGGCCATGCTGGCTCAGGAATTCTGGGAGTTGAAGTCCACGAGTCACGAAGGGGCCATAGTTCCCCCACGCTGGCTCAGGAATTCTGGGAGTTGAAGTCCACGAGTCACGAAAGGGCCACAGTTTCCCCATGCTGGCTCAGGAATTCTGGGAGTTGAAGTCCACGAGTCACGAAAGGGCCACAGTTTCCCCATGCTGGCTCAGGAATTCTGGGAGTTGAAGTCCACGAGTCATAAAAGAGCCCAGGTTGCCTATCCCTGGTATAGGGTTTCCTGCTTGTTCAAGGGTTGGACTAGAAGACCTACAAGGCCCCTTCCAACTCTGTTATTTTGTTCTTCTTCCTGCATCAAGGATGGATTCCTAGGGCTGACCCATAACGAACGTTCGCTGTGACTTAATCCTGGAGCTTTTGTATTATAAGCATCAGAAAAGAGAGACTCTAGAAAGAGTACAGAGAAGAGCAACAAAGATGATTAGGGGACTGGAGGCTAAAACATATAAGGAACGGTTGCTGGAATTGGGTATGTCTAGTTTAATGAAGAGAAGGATGAGGGGGGACATGATAGCAGTGTTCCAATATCTCAGGGGCTGCCCCAAAGAAGAGGGAGTCAAGCTATTCTCCAAACCGCCTGAAGGCAGGACAAGAAACAACGGATGGAAACTGATCAAGGAGAGAAGCAACCTAGAACTAAGGAGAAACTTCCTGACAGTTAGAACAATTAACCAGTGGAACAACCTGCCTCCAGAAGCGGTGATTGCTCCAACACTGGAAGTTTTTAAGAAGATACTGGATAGCCATTTGTCTGAAATGGTATAGGATTTCCCGCCTGAGCAGGGGGTTGGACTTGACGACCTCCGAGGTCCCTTCCAAATTTATCATCATCATCATCATCATCATCATCATCATCATCATCATCATCATCATCACTATTATCATTATTATTTAAAAAAGCTATCCTCCAAAGCGGGACATATTTGGAAGAGGAATGGGATGGAGGAAACCAACGGCCTTACCTGTGGAGGAGTTGGGGTAGAAGAAGTCCTAGCTCCAGACATTATTTCCTCTGTGATATCTTTGCCACCCTGATTTGGATCACGTATTCGGATCTGCCGGACCAGAAGGGGGGGGAAAAATCAGAGAAGATATGCTTTATACACAGGGCAGACAAAGCTTGAAGATGTCATGGTTCCAACAGATGAAACTCTTCAAGAGTTTTTATTTTGAGTAGCATAACATCGGCACGGCATAATCGAAATCAAAAGTTGAATTCCCCTCCCTGAGCACATAGTATCAAAGCACAATTCCCTCCTCCAATTAACAGTCATAAATCACATTCCCCAATTAGCTTGAAGTGCGGGCTTCCTGTCCAGTTCTCCAGCCCTCCAATTCTTTATCAGCTCTGGTTACAATAACCTTGTTTCTCATGCTAGGTTTAGTGTTGTTATGTCTAGCTGGACTCTCGTTCACATCCCCCCTCCCAGCATCATCTAACTCTAAAAGCAAAAGGTAAAAGATGGCTACATTTCCTTTTGTTGGCAATGCAAAAACATCCGATGTTAGCAGCGTTGACAGAAGAGATGCGTACAAGCATTTTGGGTCTAGCCCAGGGTTTCTGCAATCTGGACAACTTTAAGACTTGTGGACTTCAGCTCCCAGAATTCCTCAGCCAGCTACGGGAGCTGAAGTCCACAAGTCTTAAAGTTGTCAAAATTGCAGACCCCTGGGCTAGCCCAACCATTAAGATACAGACAATAGCCTTTAATGCAAGGGTCCCTGGCCTTGAGCCATTTGAAACCGGGCCATGGAAGTGGCAGACAAGCACGTCTGCACATCCCCACTTGTGTGAGCAGCGGGTAAATGTGTGCAAATGGAGCGGTGCACGTTCACACCCTCGCCTGTTGCTCACCTGGAACCATCCCTTCTCCCCCCCCCCCCACGTCCAGCCAGTCCACAAAGCCGGAAAGATTGGGGAACTCTGCCTTAATGGATCAAACCCCCAATTCTTCGGCTCAGCCTAGTTAATTCCAACAACGGCCCTACAAAAATGACATACAGAATCGGATCCTTAGCAGCTGTCATTTCAAGCTACCGCTCCTCGGGATGTTGTTAAACTCTGTGGATGTCACTGCTTGTAGACAGCCACTGAGATTCATATGCCGCTTCACGGTGCTTTACAGCCCTCTCTAAGCGGTTTTACGGAGTCAACATATTTGCCTCCACCAACAATCCGGGTCCTCATTTTGCCGACCTCGGAAGGATGGAAGGCTGAGTCGGCCTTGAGCCGGCCAGGATCGAACTGCCAAACGGCAGGCAGCTGGCAGTCAGCAGAAGTAGCCTGCAGTACTGCATTCTATCCACTGCGCCACCACGGCTCCTTTCTTGAGGTCTAATGGACTTCTCCAATCCCACCTTACAGGCTACTCAACAACTTCAAAGAGGTTCTGGCCCACCAGGTATCTTACAAGTAGCGACAATCTTGAAAGCGGAGATCAGAAAAGGGAGCGGCCAGCTGCCCGCGGTCTGCGTCGAGGCCAGCAGTCAACCAACGACAACTTGTCCTCGGCCAGGGCCTCACGCTACCCATGACAGGGGGCTAAGCTCCCGAAAGCCAGCCGCCATGTCTTTCAAAGCGTGGCACTTCTCCCGGGCTCGCTCGCCCTGCCTCCCGCCCTACCACAGGGCTGAGGCCAGGAGGAAGCACTTTCTTCCTCCTGGCCCTAAACGCCCAGGGTGGGTGGCTGCAGGAGGGAGGAAAGGGAAGGGAGGTCCTTAGCAGCCACCGATGAGGTCACAAGCAAGCTCTGTTGGGCAGACCTGGACACAGTAGCTGAGGGAGCAAATCAACACCTTCATTAGGGCTCAGGGGCCAGAAAGCAGGGTCTGTGACAGGGGTAGAGGCAACCTTGGCTCTTTTATGACTCGTGGACTTCAACTCCCAGAATTCCTGAGCCAGCATGGCTCAGCTTGGAAACCTCTCCCTTTCCCCTCAGCGTTGCTGGCTCAGGAATTCTGGGAGTTGGGGTCCACGAGTCATAAAAGAGCCAAGGTGGCCTACCCCTGGTCTATGACAACTCGCCACGGCCAACTCACTGCAGCCAACCCGTTGCAGGACAGCTCGCCACGGGACAAGATCCTGAAACTCAAGTACTTTGGCCACCGAATGAGAAGGAAGGACTCACTGGAGAAGGGCCTAATGCTGGGAAAGATGGAGGGCAACAGAAGAAGGGGATGAGAGAGAATGAGGTGGCAGGATGGAGTCCCTGAAGCAGTAGGCGTGAGCTTCAATGGACTCCAGAAGATGGCAGAGGACAGGAAGGCCTGGAGGAACGTTGTCCATGGGGTCGCGATGGGTCGGACACGACTTCGCAACTAACAACAACTAAAAACAATTAAAGTGGCTTTTAACATTCTTTTTGCAGAGGAAATTCAAATAGAGAAGAGCCTCTCTCGCTAAAACTGGGAGCGAGGTTTGTGCGGAGGGAGGGCACGGTCTTTCGGCCCGTCTACTCAAGCTTGAAGCTTTGGGCCAATCCCTTTCTCTCTGCCCAACCCACCTCACAGGGTTGTCACCGGATAAATAGGAGGAAGGGATATTAGGCACGTTGGCCGCACTGAGTCATTTACATAAATAAGAAAGGTGAGGTAAGCTTTTAAAAAATATATAAATTAAAAAAATAATTAAGCAAAGGAAGGGAAAAAGCAAAGTGGTCCCCCTCAAGGTGGACGGTGCCAGCCTTTGCAAAGACAAAAAAAAAATACCGATTACTGATTTATCTCACCCGATTCTTCTTCTCCGATGCTGCAACAGGGACCTAAATCAGGGGGCATGAGAGCAACTTCGGCAGAAATCCTGCAGGATTCGGGACTTAAAAGAGAAGCGGTTCGGCGTTCAACAGCCTTTTCCTCTCTGCAGAGTTCCAGCCTGCTCCCACGGAATCACGTTCCGTGCACCCTTCTGGACTTTTGTACCTCGCTGAACTCTGACCCATCTTGCGACATTTCCCACAAAGAGCAGGCACACAAACACACACAGGGCGGGGCCTGTTTCTTCTCAATCCACATCTGGAATTTTCCAAAGGCGAGAAGCAACTGCTTCCCAACCAGGCTAAACTTTTTTTAAACAATTTTTTTTTTTTACTATTTATTATATCCCACCTTTATCGTTTTTATAAATAATTCATGGCGGTGAAGCCATACAAAATATTCCTTCTTCTCCCTATTGTTCCCCACAACCAACATCCTGGTAGGTGGGACTGAGCCGATGAGTCGGTGACTGGTCCAAAGTCACCCAGCTGGCTTTCGTGCCCAAGGTGGGACTAGAACTCACAGTCTCCTAGTGATTGGATCAAAGTTACCCAGCCGGCTTTCATGCCTAAGGTGGAACTAGAACTCACAGTCTCCTGGTGATTGCTCTGAAGTCACCCAGCCAGCTTTCATGCCTAAGGTGGGACTAGAACTCACAGTCTCCTGGTGATTGCTCTGAAGTCACCCAGCCAGCTTTCATGCCTAAGGTGGGACTAGAACTCACAGTCTCCTGGTGATTGCTCTGAAGTCACCCAGCCAGCTTTCATGCCTAAGGTGAGACTAGAACTCACAGTCTCCTAGTGATTGGATCAAAGTTACCCAGCCAGCTTTCATGCCTAAGGTGGGACTAGAACTCACAGTCTCCTGGTGATTGCTCTGAAGTCACTCAGCCAGCTTTCATGCCTAAGGTGGGACTAGAACTCACAGTCTCCTGGTGATTGCTCTGAAGTCACCCAGCCAGCTTTCATGCCTAAGGTGGGACTAGAACTCACAGTCTCCTGGTGATTGCTCTGAAGTCACCCAGCCAGCTTTCATGCCTAAGGTGGGACTAGAACTCACAGTCTCCT